AAACTCAACCTCAAGAATGAATACTTAGTTAAATAGAGAATAGGCCCAGGAATGGATTAACTGCCTGATAAATGTTACCTAATTATTGTCTTATTACACCAAATTTTGGTTGTCCATATACTTTTCTTTTTAACCTACTAGGCTTTGAGCATTGAGGAAGAGATGACATCTTATTTAATCTTGTATCTCAAGTCCTATCTGCAAGCCCTAGCAGATAATAAGTGTTCAAAAATGTAATTCTAATCTGTAGGAGGATTCAGAATAAAACATCAGAAAGATCTCCAGCCCACACTCTGAACAGTTACAAGCCTTCTAAATGCTACTATTCTACTGTCAATTAACAATAATTTATGTTACTATTATTTAAGCATGTGACTAAGTTTACTCAGTGCTTTGCCTATCAGACATCCTAGATTTGAATCTTGCTGTGTCTCTTACTCCTTTGACTTGGCATTGGGCAAGTCATTGCACCTCTTAGATCCTCATTTTCCTCATCTGTAAACCTGAAATGAAACATCTACCTTGCAATATAGTAGTAGGATTAGCATGAGAGACATGGTGTACAGTGGTGTACATGGTGTACAGTGCCTGTGATGGAAAAGGTGCTCAGTAAGAGTTAGGTAGGCTTACTGTTGCTTGGAGGGGGTTCAACAGGAATGTTTGTTGATATGGCCTCTGTTCAGAGTTCTTTTTTTTAATTTTTATTTATTTATGATAGTCACAGAGAGAGAGAGAGAGAGAGAGAGAGAGAGAGAGAAGAGAGAGAGAGAGAGAGAGAGAGAGAGAGAGAGGCAGAGACATAGGCAGAGGGAGAAGCAGGCTTCATGCACCGGGAGCCCGACGTGGGATTGGATTCCGGGTCTCCAGGATCACGCCCTGGGCCAAAGGCAGGCGCCAAACCGCTGCGCCACCCAGGGATCCCTGTTCAGAGTTCTTAATTTGCATGGCCTGAAATCTTTTGAGGTCAGATTTCTTTAAGTACTGTGATGATTGAATTGTGTCCCTGAAAAAGATATGTTGAAACTCTAACTCCTAGAACTTCAGATTGTGATCTTTTTGGAAATAAGGTAATTGTTGATGGAATTAGTTAAGATGAGATCCTACTGGGGTAAAGTGAGCCCTAATTCAGTATAACTGATGCCGTATAATCAGAGGAGAAGGAGACACAGGGAGAAGAATGCTGGGTGATGACAGAGAGATGGGAGTGATATAGCTGCAAGCCAAAGAACACCAAAGATTAATGGCTGCCACCAGAAGGTAGGAAGAAGCAAGGAACAATTCTACCCAGAGCCTCAGAAGGACTATGGCTTTACTGATACCTTGAATTTGGACTTTTGGCTTCCAGAATTGTGAGATAATATATTTTAAATTGTTTAAGTCACTCATTTTGGGGTACTTTATTATGGCAGCCCTAGGAAATTAACACAAGTTCTATGCTAAACTTAATGACCACAACTTTTCAAAGTTACTCCAGAAAAAAAAGAACACTTGTAATACTCAAAAAATGAGTTAATTGAGGTTTTCCACAGATGCCAGATTTTTCGATCCTAAAAATGAGTATAGAACATTGGCTGTGTAGAACAACTGGTAGATTTCTGGGGGGATAGGAAAAGAAACAAATCCTTGATCTATCACAGTCCACAGAGACTTTTGTTTTTTATTTTACCCCTGAATTTCCAAAGGTTTTGTAAAGAAGTTTGAATCCCTGGAGAACCAGAAAGCTTTCAGTTGTACTTGTTTAAAAAGGTAAGAAAATCCTGTTTGCATTTACTATTTATGAGTCATGGCTTCATATTGTCACATGGCCATGTGATGCTTGCTTTTAAGAACCTGCAAATGAGATCAGTTTCATTATTTTTTAATGTAAAGAGGATGATGGCAAACTCTGCTGAGTAATATAAACCAGACTGTCACTCTTGCCCTAGAATTTGTATTAACATTGTTCATTTAGAAACTAGTAAACTACATGCCGTATTTAAAACATCATATTTGACACAAAAGCAATATTTGTTGGAAATAGCATTCAAGTGTTTAATTGCAGTACATGATTCATGGGAAAATCTTCAATTCTGAGTAACTCCATGGTACTAAAACTCAGGTGCACTTTTTTCTATGCAAAGCACACATCTAATAAGGAAACCCACTGGCTGTGTGCTTGTGTTTCTCTTTCAAGGGAGCAGCTGCCATTTCTGCTGCTAAGTTTCATTCAACTTCTAAGAGTAGGGAGAATGAAATCAAATAGCCAGATGAGTTAGTATAAAAACTAAAAACTAACTGTATGGTAATCCAAAGTGTTCTAGAAAATAATTTCATTTTATTTATCTCTGAAGGCTTCTGCAGAACACAAAGTATTTTGTTCCAAGTCTGAAATAATGTAGCTGAAAATCCAGTCCTGTTCTAGAAAAGATGTCATTCTCTGACCTTTGCTTATGTTCAACTCTCATGTTTCCCTTCTGATCTAAGCTTTAAGGAAAACACTTAAGTTGTGGAATGATGAAATTCTCTTTTGAAGGAAGCTGTTCCACATTTCCTGGGGTGAATTTTTTGGCTACAATTCCTGCTACATAGTTGTGGGGGTTTTTCAGTGTTTTTTGTTTTGTTTTTTTGTTTTTTGTTTTTACAGATTAGCATCTTCCCCCAGAATTTTCCTAAAATAGCTAGATTATCATAGAATATGTTTTGCACTTAAAGTCCATTTTCCATTTTCATAGACAGCTGGCAGAGAGAGAGAGAGAGAGATTGAGATCACAAGCAGTGAGAAGGGGTAGAGGGAGAAGCAGACTCCCTGCTGAGCAGGGAGCCCAATGTCAAACTTGATCCCAGGACCCTGGGATCAGGACTTGAGCCAAAAGCAGATGCTTAACCAATTGAGCCATCCAGGTGCTCAAAAATCATGAATTTTTTGAAAAGGAATAGCTCTCAAGCTGGGCCTCTAGTCTTGCATTTGTTTAGTTGTTTATTTTCCATTTCTTTAAAGCTTAAATATAAGAATCTTGTTTCATACTTGTATGTCTTCTGACTCATTTCAGCCTAGCATTGCTGCCTGCAGAGATGGTTTTGAAACTTCATTTTTTGTCCATTGTACTGCTATCTTTCCCAGGATTGTTTTAGTCTAAAGAGTTTTTCTTTTACAGACACATATTCTACATTTTAATCAGATCTATTGCTTAAAATATTCAGGAAAATTGGACCCCAAACAGAGCTTTGTGGCACTATTCTAGGGACTTCTATCCAACTCAATATTGATCTTTTAAGCAGCACTCACTGGGAATGGTTCAAATCATTGCTAATCCTTGTAGCAACAGGTGATTATGGAAAATGTGAAGTGCTTTGCTAAAATGGACATGGACTGTTTCTAAATCCTCACCCTGATTCAGTAGCTTAGAATTTCCCATCAGGTTTATCTGTGAGTAAATTTATCATCCTATGTATTTGACTCTAATTTTTTGGCATCAAATTTATTGATTAAAAATATTTGTATCTCTTATTTATTTAAGTTCTTAAATATTACTGATGGTCTTTTCACTTTCAGACTCCCATTATGTAATTTGCTTAAATACATGGATATGAATATATGGAAGCAGCCAGGTATTTCTGCATCGTCTCTCTTTTGCAAGGCTTCTCTTCAGCCTGAAAACCTTGATTTGGGGTGAAGAGCTCAGGATCAGGAATGAAAATATCTAGATGCCAGTATTTAATCTGCTCCTTAACTAGCTGTGTAACCTACGATATGCCCTCTAACCTCTCTTAGTATTAGTTAATTCTTCTGTAAATAATAAATTCTACTAGATAATTTCTATGAGTTCCTTCTTGTTGTAGAAACCATAATCATAATCAATCTGTTGAGCACAAACAAGAAATCCTCAGAGGAGTTTTTATAGGGAGAGAAAATGAGTGGTACCATACAGTACCTCTACAATTTTAAAAAATGACAGTGAAAGGAAGGGTAGCTATAAACTCTGCAGGAATTTGGAGTGGGTGTCAGACTTTGGGCATAGATTTCATGGATGTAACCTAAACAAAATGGAGAAGAGAAGTGAGAAAGGGTTGATGTTGGAAATATTTTTAATTCTTGTTTTATTTTGTTGATGTTTTAATCCTCTCCGAGGTCAACGTCAGTGCAAGATACCTTCCCACCATTTTTTGGAATACTGCCTTGACATTTAATCAGGAGTCTAATTTATACTTTGATTTAAAAAATGGATAAGGTAGTACCAATTATTTCCAACCACACCATTTTGAAGTGATACATCATTTTATTTGGAGTGAAATAACATTCAACATATAGAAACTGGTAAAACCAGGCAGAACAATATAGAAATTGTCTTCTGGCCTTAGTAGCATTTGAAGGCAAACAACTCAGATAATTGCCACTAGTATTTGCTTTTTAATGTTGAATAAAGGTTGAGAGAAAAAAAAAAAACAAGAGAATAATAGATGGCATCAATTTAGCTTGCACTTTGAGGGATGAAGTAAAATGTAGTGGTTAGGAATATAGGCTCTGGTATTGGACTCTGGATCCACCATTTGTGGTTGGATGAGGTTGTAGATATTACTTAATCTTTTGTACTTCAATTTTTTCATCAAATGGACATAATAATAAAATTTATGGAGATTTTGTTAGGGTGAAATGTATTATCACACAAAGAATTTAAACTAGTAGCTGTAATGGAGGAAACACCCAATAAATATTGATTATTATTATTGTCATACTTAGTGCTTTCTCCCATAAAAACATACACATTACTAAAAGGAATACAGGCAAGAAATGACATGAAATGGAAAGGAGAAATGAGAAGAATTCTGAGTTATAAATTCTGAAGGCATAAATTATTGTAAACGAAGCCTTGTCTACAAGTTCTCTTTATGAAATGGTCTCTCCAACAGTTGGTCTCTTCATGTCTCTTTACTCTTGAACCCAAAATTGTTGCAAAATTAAAGTAAAAGATCTTAGAATTATGAGAAATTTCTCTGGACCTTAGAAATCATCATGTCATGTGATTCTAATCTGTGATTTTATTATTTAAGATTCATTTATTTATTATCATAGAACTATAACTAATTAGACGTGGCAAGAATGCAACAATAAAAAAAATGCAACAATAGCAAAATGTAAGCATTGTTTTGCCTAACCTGTGAATTCATTGCAATGATTATGTGAGAAGTTATACAATAAAATAATTTAAAGATCTATTGAAAATCATTAAAATGAATAACCCAAGATAAATTATCCTTTTAGGAATTTTTGGCAGAAAACAAAAAACTATTACTGTCAAATGGGTATAATCAATATTCCTCTTTCAAAATGATCTGTAATTCTTTTGTCTTGAGTTAACTCAGTTGTGGGAATCAACACCTGGAGAATGTAATGGGGGTAAGACATTACATGTGGGAGTAAAGAAAGCATTAAAAGGCTTTAAGAATTGGGGGTACGAGGTAGGAAATTCATGTGCTCTATAGAGGATCATCTAGCTTATGATTATGAAGTATTTCATACATTCTTAATTCTGTAGCTGAGCTAAGACCTATTTCTTCAACTCTGTATGTCCTTTCTTTTCAAAGCTTTCTGACAATTCTCCCTCCCTTTTTCTCCCTCTCTCCATGCCTGCTTTTGTTGGGGACAATATGAGTGCTGATGGGAAGCAGTGAATAGAAACAATATGATGAACATAGTCCAATCTACACTTAAAGGTAAGAAAGGACACTTCTTGAACTATGAGAGGTCTTAGGCAGTGAAAGACTCTTTGCTTGATTTATTTAAAATGAGGCTGAGCAAAGCAGTGGAAAATACCTGCCAAGCAAGACTGCTGCTTTGCCAGGAAGATGGGTTAGGTGCTTCTAGAGTTTCTCTTAAAGTTCTCTATTTTGGTGGCATAAGACATTATTAGTTCATCATACTGAGTACTGAGAAAATTGTTTGCTGATAAAAAATGGCTAGATTGAGCAAATGAAAACAAGGCTAATAAAGAGCTACAAGACAAGACTTTTGCATAAAACTCAACAACATAGTTTCACAATGAGCCCCTTGCTAAATGCAAGGCTTAGTTTTCTTTCAGGTTAGTCACCTGTGAATCTATTGAAGTGTGTACAAACTCAACTTTCCTCCAAGAATTGGATTAGGCTGTAGGGAAGACATGAAATACAAGTTGACCCTTCTCTGCAAAATCTATTTTTTCCTACTTTATAAAAGGAATCATATTTGAAATGACATAATGCATGCATGTGTGCCATCTCCTACAAAAGGACTGAAAACCATTGAATATCATGGAAAACAGTTTTTTTTTTAACCTTTTCAAATGTTTTGACTTGTCACATTATATTTTCACCTTCTACCTGATTATCCATCATTACCTTGACAGGGCAAGTATGTTCCCTTTTGTGATCTTCTCCCCCAAAATGAGTATGAAAAGTAAAGGCCACCTGTTGCCATTTAAGAATTTGGTTTTTCTCTAAATCCACTTGACATTTCAAGGCTTCACATCTGCTACTTTGTGATAACATTTTCCTTTATAGACCATGTGGTTTCTAAAATGGTGTCACGTGAGTCAAAAATCTAGCCAAGTATGGTGTTTACAATTTCTAGCTTAAGGTTGTTTTAGGATTTCATCCCCCATAGGCAAAAGGGTGCATGGTGAGTATTCTGGGCTCTTATCTAAAATATATGAGTACATTTCTGCTCATGTTCCCATTCTGATCCGTTGAAAGTGACTGCTCAGACTACTGGGTTGAGATTGGCTATTTATGGATGACCAGGTAAAATAGTCCTTGCCGATTTGGGATGTCTGTCATAGGTGAGGGATTGACTGGTGTTCTATATTGGCCATTCTTTCCTCAGAGGCTTCTTACAGGCAAGAGAAGGCTGTCACCTCTGTTCCAAACACATTTATGTATCTGGCTGAGACAGCAGGGTGGCCACAAACTTCACCTACTCGTACTCTCCTTTACCCTCCTCTCTTAGCTTGACTGATACTCAATCCCTGTGAGTTTTCTGAACAAAGAGGAGCTATTGCTGGCCTCGATTAAAAAGCCTAGGCAGGGTGATGTGTGCTCATCAAGATAAACATTTATCTGCAACCTTCCTCTCTGGGCCTCAGGGGGCTCTTAATCACCAAAGAGGTTCAGGTTGCAGCAATATTTGCTCTTGGTGCATTTTCAGAGGCCAGGGTAATTCCATGGCCTGCAAATGAAGATAAGAGACTGGGTGCAGCCGAGGCAGCAGTTGTGGGTAGATAAGAGCGTGTTATTCCATGCCAGAGGTTAATGGGAATTGTCAGTGTGGTGGTGATTTTTCCAATCCTTTGTCTCTATTTTGACAGAGGACATGGCCCGAGCCAAACACAGGATCCTATTTCCAAGAACACCTGTCGCTTCATGGATCAAATGTAAGAGATACTTCTTGGGAACTCCTTCTATCCCAATACACCATGTCCGTAGGTCATATTCTGTCTACATTCCTGGCATTAGCTTTCCTTTGGCCATGCCTCTTGCTGCCAAATGGCTAATCTTCTCTTGTCTGCATGTTGTGCGCTTGCAAAGCTCTAAAAATGTTTCTCTATTTCTTTCTTTCTTCTTTGTTTCTGAGCAAGGTATCTAAATGACAGAAATATATTTCAAGTCAACACTTAAATATTTCTGTCAGCATTAGCTGAGAACTCTGGGTAATAATAATCCATAAAGGACTCAAAGTTAAAATTTATTTTTATATTCACATTTAGAATGCAGTCTGTCAGACAAATATAAACACACCTAAACACACCCACTCAGTACCAAGGGTTGCCCTCTCTCCATGGCTACTGCCTGCATGTGAGTCCAAATCTAGGGAAATCTGGCCCCTGCAGTTGTAAAGGATTCAGACCTAGTAACTAAATGACTAGCATTTGTTTTCAGTGGATTTTTTTCCCTTCTTTTCTAAATAACTGCAAATGGGTTCTGTTATTTTAAAAATGCTAATATTTAGTAGGCTAATCCGTAACATGATACGTACCATTCACCAGCCTAACAAAAGCAATTTACCATAATCGGGTTATTTCACCTAGAAGCAAAGAAGGGGCCTTTTGAGTAAATAAAAAGATTTTTTGGCCCCGTTTTGAGGGCATTAGTCCTTGTGTTGTTATCTACTATAATAATACCATATTCCATTTATTGAGTGCTTGCTATGAGCCAAGCACTGAGTTAATATTACTCGTGTGATCCCACTTAATTCTTACGGAAAGTTCCTAAGGCGGGTATCTCTCTCTCTCTGATGGATGAGAATACTGACCTTGAATGATGAAGCAACTTCCCTGAGGTCACACAGCTAAGAAGAGATTAAACTAGGTCTTTCTGCTTCTAATGCCCATGTTCTTTTCTTCCTCCGATAAAGCAACAGACTTGGCCTTCAAAGAAACAGTATCATAAGATCTCTTTCCAGTTTCCAAATTTCTGAGGCCTTCTCATTTTTTCAGACTTCCCTGAGATCTTAAAGAGTACCTAACAAAGATGAGCCCTTGCTGAGAAGGCTTTGCCTAGAGCCTAGAGCCCGTGTTTCCTGCCTCCTAACCCAGAGCTCTTTCTCAATTTCACCACTCCCTTTCTAGGGGCTAGTGGCAGGAGTAAGACAATGGCAAACTATTTTCATAAACCTTTCCCCCACTTACCTCTTCCCCTCTCCACTCTACAGTTGCTCTTCTTTTCTCATTTTCAGACACTGTATCCCTCAACATTTTAATGCATGTTTATTTGCTTTTTGTTTATCATGTTTCCCCATAATAGGATGTCTGCCCTAGGAGAAGAGTGACTTTGTTTCATTCACTGCTGTATCCTCAGGACCTGGAAGAATGTCTGGCCCTATAGGCCCTCAATAAATATTTATGAGATGAATGAATGAAGATACAGATCTTTACAAGGCTTAGTTAGATGATTTCATTCCCTTGAATGCATTGGTGTTTTGATATTTAACAAAACTCCTCTCCTTCATATAGTATATATTAAGAGTTATGGATACTTATGTACTTTAGAAGCAGTGTTTTTTTTTTGTTTTATAAAAATGATTTAATACACCATTAATATAGTAATGTTTCATATTCAGGACACATCTGTCTACAAGCTCTGTCCTTTTGAAATCTCAGGCCAATTTGTAATTAAATATACTTCAGAAATATTCCTCTAATTTATCATGCAACATTACAGCACTAAACGATTTGACACTTCTTTTCCTATAAAATATGCAAAACAGAAAAAAAAAACGAAATAACCCCCACCTCTGCCAAAAAAAAAAAAAAAAACCCACAAAAAAACAACAACATAAAACCTTATTCTATTACATTGTTTCAACTTTTGGCCAAACCTTTTTTGGATGTTCATTAAATTTAGGCAAAGTGTGTTCATACTATCTCATGTTAAAAGGCTCAGATACTCCAGCTCTGAGGGATGTAGGGAAACTTAAGCTTCAATGGGATTTCTTTGTTTTGGGGGGTAAAAGGAATGCCCCAGGGTGTCTGGTGGCATTTCTGGCTTTTCTTGTTCCCCACACATTGCAGGGTATTTAAGGATTGAGATTCGGGCTACAGCACAAACTTTCCAAGGCATTAATACTTATAAAGCTGTGAGTGTCAAAGGGTTAAGAAAGGCCATGGTTGCTTGATGCTGGAAAAAAAAATATTTTTATGCTTCTAACGTTAATCTGGAAAATGATCTTCCCTGCTTGGATAAGGGGGAAAAAGCTTTCTTCTTATTTCATAATGCAACTGCATAAAACGTGATCTTTCTTGCATATGGAAATGACTCATTCTGAAAGGGTTTTCTCAGCCAAGGTTATCAGCTTTTCATTTTTCCTTCAGCACTACTAAAGGTTCCTTTGCTTTCTCTTTTCTCGCCTCCCTATAGTGAGCTTTTGCCATGTAATTTCTCCTGAAAGATCCAAATTCCCATTGATTCCTTTTACTTTAGAGTGTTTACTTAACAGCAAATGATCAATGTTGAGCTAAATAGGGAAGAAATCATCTGTATAGTTACATTTCTTTATATCTTTCAGCACATGCTCGCCTATTTTAAATGCTAACATGGCAAACTGTGTTGGATAAGCATTCTGGGGTATCCATGTGTTCGTTATTTTGCAACATAAAGTGGAGATACTCAATCCTTGAAAATTGCTTTCTGAGATTGGATGCTGCACCGTGTCTCCTAACTCATATTTATCCTTAATAAAAAGGTATTATGGGAGGAATAGGCTTGTACTTGCTGGATCAGTTCTTTACTATAAAAGTAGGTTAAGATACATGGACATTTATTGTTTTGGGAAAAGCTACTCTGGAAAGAGAGAGAGAATGAGAGAGAGATAGAAAGAAAGAGAGAGTGCTTAATATACAGCTATTTACCAGGTAGACGGACTTCATCAGGAATGGTATGGATTCTTTATAAGAAAGTTAAGGAAAGAGGTACCGGGTGACTCCATCAGTTTAGCATCTGCCTTCACCTCGGGTCATGATCCCAGGGTCTTGGGATTGAGCCCTGCGTAGGGCTCTCTGCTCAGTGGAGGGTCTGCTTCTCTCTCTCTCTCTCCCTCTGCCTGTTACTCTGTCTACTTGTGCTCGCTCACTGTCTCTCTGACAAAGAAATAAATAAAATCTTAAAAAAAAAAAAAAAAGAAAGTTAAGGGTTAAGAGTATGGCAACTCTAGAAGGGCAGATTTGAATTTGAGTTTTGACTTCAGTTTTCCAGTTTCTGGACAAATACTCAATATCTCTGTGCCTTTACTTGCTTTCCTCATCTACACAGTAGATGTGGATAGTATGAGCATCAGTCTTAAAACAGAATTAGCATGAAGGTTCAATAGTTGGTCTGTATAAAGCACTCACCACAAAGCTGAGTACATAGTAAGTCCTTAGTTTATCTTAACTACTACCATTATTGTTATGAAATAATTCAGCTGATAAGTGGACATACGGTGAAGCAGACCAGGGTTTGGAAAGGAATAATCAGTGGCCTGTGGGTCCTAAGTAATTAATGTAATGTCCTTGTAATGTAATGTCCTTGCATTGAATTCCTAAATTAGGGTAGGCAACCCCCGGTACACGCTTTCACAGCATCCTTTACTTTTTTTTTCTTTACAAAATCTACCACATTTTTTTTAAGATTTTATTTATTTATTTGAGAGAGAGAGAGCACACAAGAGGGGGAGGAGAGCAGAGGAAGAGGGAAATCAGACTCCCCACTAAGTGGGGAGCTGGACACAGGGTTTGACCCCAGGACCCTGAAATCACGACCTGAGCCAAAGATCATGACTGAGCTACCCATGTGCCCCTAAAATTTGCTACAGTTTTAATTATTTGTAGAATTTGGAGCGTGACAGGTGATGGAAGGGATCCTGCACATTCTGTTTGCTGCTTTCTAGCTCATGCATAATCCACTGTGCCTAGAACAAAGTGGGTTCTCAAAGTCTCTGGATGAATAGATGACAAAGCCAGGAAAGATTTTTGAGGTACTTACGTGTCTGGCAGAGCACCTTTGTAAATGGATGGATGGATGAACTCTTCTGGTTTCATCCACTTCTTGGCTGTTTTTTTCTTTCTTTTTAAAAATTTTTGTTATTATTTTTTTATATTTTATTTAGATTCAATTTGCCAACATATAGTATAACACCCAGTGTTCATCCCATCAAGTGCCCCCCTCAGTGACTGTCACCCAGTTACCCCAACCCCCCACCCACCTCCCCTTCGGCAACTCTTTGTTTGTTCCCAGAGTTAGGAGTCTCTCATGTTTTGTCTTCCTCTCTAATTTTTCCCCACTCAGTTTCCCTCCTTTACCCTATGATTCCTTTCACTATTTCTTATATTCCACATATGAGTGAAACCATATGGTAATTGTCTTTCTTCGATTGACTTATTTCATTCAGCATAATATCCTCCAGTTCCATCCATGTCGATGTAAATGGTAGCTATTCATCCTTTCTGATGGCTGAGTATATTTATACTTATATATACCACATCTTCTTTATCCATTCATTTGTTGAAAGGCATTATAGCTCCTTTCACAGTTTGGTATTGTGGACATTGCTGCTATGAACACTGGGGTGCAGGTGTCCTGCCATTTCACTGCATCTGTATCTTTGGGGTAAATCCCCAGTAGTGCAGTTGCTAGGTCATGGGGTAGCTCTATTTTTAACTTCTTGAGGAACCTCCACACAGTTTTCCAGAGTGGCGGTACCAGTTTGCATTCCCACCAACAGTGCAAGAGGGTTGCCCTTTCTCCACATCTTCTCCAACATTTGTTGTTTCCTGTCTTACTAATTTTCACCATTCTCACTGGTGTGAGGTGGTATCTCATTGTGGTTTTGATTTGTATTTCCCTGATGGCAAGTGATGCAGAGCATTTTCTCATGTGCTAGTTGACCATGTGTAGACCTTCTCTGGAAAAACATCTGTTCATGTCTCCTGCCCATTTCATGACTGGATTGTTTGTTTCTTGAGTGTTGAGTTTGATAAGTTCTTTATAGATCTTGGATACTAGCCCTTTATCTGAAATGTCATTTGAAAATATCTTCTCCCATTATGTCGGTTGTCTCTTAGGTTTATTGGCTGTTTCTTTTGCTGTGCAGAAGCTTTTTATCTTGATCAAGTCCCAATAGTTCATTTTTGCTTTTGTTTCCCTTGCCTTCATAGATGTATCTTGCAAGAAGTTGCTGTGGCCAAGTTCAAAAAGGGTTCTTCTCTAGGGTTTTGATGGATTCTTGTCTTACATTTAGATCTTTCAACCAATTTGAGTTTATCTTTGTGTATGATGTAAGAGAATGGTCTTCATTCTTCTGCATGTGGCTGTCCAATTTTCCCAACACCATTTATTGAAGAGACTTTCTTTTTTTCCATTGGATATTCTTTCCTGCTTTGTCAAAGATGAGTTGACCCATAGAGTTGAGTCAGGTCTATTTCTGGGTTCTCCATTCTGTTCCATTGACCTATGTGTCTGTTTTTGTGCCAGTACCATGCTGTCTCGATGATCGCAGCTTTGTAATACAGCTTGAAGTCAGGCATTTTGATGCCCCCTGGTTTGGATTTCTTTTTCAACAGTCCTCTGGCTATTCAGAGTTTTTTCTGGTTCCATACAAATTTTAAGATTATTTGTTCCCACTCTCTGAAGAAAGTCCACAGTATTTTGATATTTTACACTGAATGTGTAAATTGCTCTAGGTTGGCTGCTTTTTTTTTTTTTAAGAGCTTTGCTGGCTCTTTCTCCTTTGCTCAATGTTTAATTGTATTTAGAGTGATATATATATGATAGATGGATAGATATATTTTTGATAGATGGATGGATGGATATATAGATAGATAGATAGATAGATAGATAGATAAAAGAGTACAAATGTGGAATATTCCACAAATCTAATTCCATGTCAAACCTGTCTTATTGTTTTGTAGATGTCACCAGTCTAGAGTCTGCAGTTTAGAACTGGAGAAACATGGTCCTTGAGGTTCTTGAAATAGGTCCCATCCCTTTATTGTGTCTGGTACTATTAAATTTCCCCTTTGACAATGGATTCTACAAGCATGCATGACGTGGGGGTCTTTGTGCAGTTGGTTTCAATGGAAAAAGGACACTTACATGTATATGAGGAATCAGACAGGTAATGTAAAATAGTAAGCTGGCTAGATGGGGATAGTGGAAAATGACATGAATGCCCCATTCCAGGGGCAGCCATAACTCAATTTATATTGCTTTTTGACACCTGAGAGCCCAATATTGCTAAATCTGCCAAATTTTCAAGAGAAGCTTGACATCTTTTTTTCTATGGGAGGTTTTTTTTTTTTTTAAAAACATTACCAATGTATTCATTTTTTCTTATTTAAAAAATTAAGTGCTCCAAACTGATTGTTCTTATGGTTGAATCCAGCCCGTGGGGAAACTGTCTGGACTCTTGTGTCTATATAACCCCAAATCATTCACTGTCAAGTAAAAGAGAATAGTGGCCTAAATGTGAGAAAACCTGCTACAAAAACATCTACAAAGAATTTGACACTTAGATATAAACAAAGGATTGGATTCATACAGATCTGGGTTTGCACTGTGATCTTGGACAAATTACTTAACCTTTCTGAAATTATTTCTACTGATAAGATTCTTTGATTCTCTAGGGGCTTATTAAACAAAGAGAAATATAAACTTCTATCTATATTTCATAATATGCTCAATATACTAAATATACACACTTAATAGATAAAACTTTGAAACATCAGGGATCCCTGGGTGGTGCAGCGGTTTGGCGCCTGCCTTTGGCCCGGGGCACGATCCCGGAGACCCGGGATCGAATCCCACCTCGGGCTCCCGGTGCATGGAGCCTGCTTCTCCCTCTGCCTGTGTCTCTGCCTCTCTCTCTCTCTGTGTGTATGACTATCATAAATAAATAAAAATTTAAAAAAAAAAAACTTTGAAACATCAAATTGAACATTTAAAATTTATTACAAACGAAATTATTTAAATTCTCATAGTGCAAATTACAATTTAAATTTTACTTTATTTTATTATTATTATTATTTTATTTTTAAAAATATTTTATTTATTTATTTGAGGGAGAGTGGAAGTTAGAGAAATCACAGAGTGGGAGAAGCAGACTTGCTGCTGAGCGGAGAGCCCAACATGGGTCTTGATGCCAGGATCCTGAGACTGTGACCTGAGCTGAAGGTGGACACTTAACCAATTGAGCCATCCAGGTGCCCCTACAATTTAAATTTTAATGTGACTGAAACTTTTGAACACTATAAATACCTTGAAGAGTAGACAAGATAACTAAAATTACAATATTTACTTAATTTGTTACTGTAATTACACTAAAACTATTCAAAACTATTGATAGTCTGATTTCTTTATTGCTTTGATATATATTTTTAAATACCTTTGTATGATTACAACAATACTTGTTTTAATTTAACTTAAAATTATAGTAGAGTCTATACTGTCATCTTCTAGGATTACAAGGTGTTTGATCGTTCCAAAAAAAATCCCCCGGAACCAAAACAACTCCAGTATCTTCTCACATCATCATGGTTCTAGGATCTGGATTATCAACAAGCTAATTTCTGACGTCTGAATGGGACTGACTGCGTGTCCCAAATTGATTTGTACCAGAGCTACTGATCATTTGGTAGGGTACCTTTATGAAACTATACTGTTGTTACATTAGTGGCATGATTTGAATTCTGCATCTTTCACATAGTTGTAGACATTTGCAGTTTGTGGTTTTTCCCTGGAATGAGGCATTCCTTAAGTTTTGCATGGCCACCACTATATCATCAATTATGCTGTAAATGATTATACATTACCCTGTCCTATAAGTATTATTAATAGCTTATATATGCCTCATTAGTATTTAATATAATTAGTAGGGCCATCTAGCTTTCTGAGAACATTTGGCTAACCAATCACCTCAAAATTCTCTGTTGAACCCTCTTTCTCTTTGAGCTTTGAATGTGTCTACTGATTTAAACCTCATTTCACCTGATTATTATTTGTGACCATAATCATTTTTTTTCTATTTGAAGATTTAGTTCCAAAGTTCCTTGCAACTACTTAGCTGACTTATAATTACTCCTCTACTTAGACATCAGGTACGTATCTGCACCTTATGAACAGATGTACAGAAGAATATGTAGGAGCAACATGCCTACATATAATCTCTTTTAATTATTATAATCAATCAAAAGGCAAATATATATATTTGTAGTCAGTTTTTGCATTAGAACTACCTTTTCATTTACTTTGTTATAACTTTTCCTATCTGTTATCAGGGTAGAATCATGACCTTTCATTGACTCAGACTTGTTCAATTTAATTATATAATTATTATTATTTTTAAAGATTTTATGTATTTATTTATTTCAGAAAAAGCATGAACAGAGGGAAGGAGCAGAGGGAGAAGGACAAGCAGACTCTCTGCTGAGCAGGGAGCTCAATGTGGGGCTGAATTCCAGGACTTTGGGATCATGACCTGAGCCAAAGGCAGACAGACCCATAACTGATTGAGCCACCTAGGTACCCCTGTTGTTCTTTTCTTGATTCTTCAACAGTCTTAACTTGGTCAGTATGAGTCTCTGTAAGCTGGCCCTTTGTCCTGATGTCCTCAAGAGCACCAGTAGTCTTTAGCACATGCTCTGGCTCCCCAGATGTGACTCAATCCCAAAGCAGGGAATCAGTTGCCCTCTGAGAATCCCAGGTTTCCTTTTAGAAGAAACATATTGAAAACTAATGCCTGGGACCCAGAGATCCACATAAAGAGGTGACGAGGTCAAAGTGCTGCTGATGCTGTTTGGTCATTTTTAGAGAAAAAAAAAAAACTGAAAAAAAGAAAGTATTTCCTTTTAGGAAATGGAGTTTATATTAATTTTTCCTATTTGGCTATTCTGTCCCTTGGTCTTCCTTAAATGTGATTTTCTAAGTATTCTCCATTTTGCAAAAATCTGGGGGCTCCTGAGTGGCTCAGTTGGTTAAACTGTCTGACTCTTAATCTCAGCTCAGGTCTTGGTCTCAGGGTTGTGAGTTCAAGCCCTACATTTGGCTCCATGCTGAGTGTGGAGCCTACTTAAAAAAACTATCCCCCTAACCATACAGAAATTATATAATCTTTGTTCCAGTTCTTGTATAATCTTACATTTAACTGATCCATAGTCAGTGTGGGGGATTCTTCTGCCTTTGAAATAATAAGAAGTGTGTGTGGGTGTGTGTCTGCTGTCTACCCCGTTCCTGACATGGAGCTCCTAAATTCCTTGGAATTCCCTGGATGATTGACAGGAGATCTTTTGTTCTAATGTTGTGATTCTTGGTGAGCTTCTAGACAGGGGTTGGTTACCAGAAAGACTAAGCTATGATTATAAGCTTGGGCTTTTCAGTCCCCCACCTCGCTCCCACCCTCCCCCCCCACCCCCGCCCCATTCTGTGGAGTGGCGAGAGAGGCTGAAATGGAGTTAACAATTGATCATGCCTGCATGATGATGCCTCTGTAAAAATTCCCAGAGTATAAGGCTCAGGTACTAGGAGGGCAGCCCATTCCCAGCTCCATGGGGTCTGGGGCTTCTGTGCTCAGAACCCTTCCAAACTTCACCCTTTGTACCTCATCATCTGGCTGTTCTTTTTTATCCTTTAAAATATTCTTTGTAGTAAATCAGCAGAAGTACGTAAGCTGTTTTCCTGGGTTCTGTGAGCTGCTTTAGCAAACAATCGAAACAGAAGGAGGGAGTCATGGGAACTTCTCATTTGTAGCTGAGTTGGAGGGAGTTTGAATTACCTGGAGGTACACTACTTATGATTGGCATCTAAAGTAGGACTGAGCCCTTGACCTGTGGGGTATGTGTTAATGCTGGGTAGTTAGTGCCAGAATTGCTTCATATGGAAAACCCACATGCTTTCTCAGTGGGATGACTAACAACATGTAGCTTACAAGGTTGTTGTGAGGATTAAAGAAGTTCCCTCACAGTGCGTAGCACATAGGACATATTTGGAATATGCAGGCTAATATGATTAAGCATGCATAACCTTAAGAAGTACACTTACCTACAATTCAAGCTACCTTTTACTTGGAAAATAGCATTCATATGTAAGCTGTAGAAACTCTATTTAAAATGTACAAGTGATACACAGAAAAAAATCACTTTTTCAAAAATAAATGCCTTGTATCTCTTTTGTATTACTAATCCTCTATGTGACATTCTGTAGCTCTTTTAAATATTTTTGCATTAACATTGAAATTATCCATCGGGGTGGTTTCTGCATCTGCTTGAGTATTAGTAATTTGTTCTGTTCTGTCTCCATTTATGGAGGAGCTGTTATACCATAAAAGATTGGGTGATTTGGCCTGAAACCATTAGGAAAAAGTAGATCCAAAGGTTAGGTGACTCAGATGTATTTGGAGCAACCATGGCCATAATCACGGATAATTCTTTTTGGCGATGTTTTTTTAAATCCCAAAATTACCATGGATGGCATTACAAAAAAAAAAAAAAAAAAAGAATCCCCATTCCTGCTTCTTTTGCATTTGATGAAGCTTATGTTGAAAGAGGCTTCATTTTATTCATTAATCAGAAATCCATTACTCTTTTCACACAGACCCACTAAATACCTACTATGTGATCAAGACTGGCACACATAGAGTCGTATTTAACAAGGGTCATGTATTTAAAAAAACCTCTTCACTGTTATGGAGAAAGAACACTAATTTTAGAGTCAAGAGTCCTTATTTTAAACTCAGCTATATCTTACTAGCTGTGCAACGTTGGGTGAATTGGCTTCCTTTCCTGGGCCTCGGTTTTTACCATTGTGCACAGGTGAAGAAAATACTTACCTAATTAGATTGTAGGGAGGAACACATTTAATGAGATGAGGTTTGAAAAAAAATGCTTTACACATTAAATGTATACACAAATGTTTGACTAGTGCAAAGCAGAATATAAGGTACATTGATCTTATGATTTAGATATACCTAATAAATTTGGTAACTGCAAAGTAATAAATTGTCATTGCCTAAAAACGATTATTTACATGAGGTGTCTTACTAGTTCTGAGGAGAAAGAGAGTATTCTTTAGAAGTTGAGATGGTCAGACAATGCTCCATGCAGGAGATA